TCTAAACCCATTAAAAAAAATCAAAAATATTAATACATTACTTTTCACAACTGATAAACTACCCAAAATTCATTGATGGAAAAGTCATAAGAAATACTCTAATCACCGCTAGGAGAAAACAACCTTACTTTTTTCTCCGTCTCTTACTGCCACTTTTCTCCCTTTCACTTTTGTCAGAACTTGATGAATCTGAAGCCGAATCTGACTCTGATGAATCTGATGAGCTACCGCTCTCAGATCCATCTGATTCTGAAACTTGCTTATGTTGTTGCATGATGAGCCGTGGCATGTTCTTCAAGTATTCTCGTAGATTTTCTGTGATACCACCAAGTCCAATGGATGTGAAGAAGTTTATGGAAAATCTAGTGTTCTTGGGGTTATCCTTTGGAAAGATTGATTCAAAAGAGTCTTGCATCGTAGGATCTTGAAGTCGCTCATTTAATAATCGGATTCCAAGTTGCTCTGACAATTCCTGCACCAAGAATAATTAGTAACATGAACTTCATCAACTCAAAAAACTAGTTAAATTAGCAATGACATAAAATACATTCCAAACATGATATATGAGAATGAAATAAGAGTGGTATTTTCTCATCAAGATATTTTTAATAGATTTATACATTAATTAATTAAGTGATACTCATATACCAATTACAAAATAATAGAAATAACCTTCAAATAAGATCACACACTGAAGCACAGTCCAACTTGCACCCAGTAGCATATCAATTCATTGAAGACAGTATACCCGTCAAAAGGAGAGGAAAAGAGTTGCAAGTATAACTTTAATTACTAATGGTTGAGCTCAAAGTCAGAGATCAACAGGGATTTAGCAAAAATTATATCAGTGATCGATTTTTAGGTTTTGTCATAAACCTAAATGATTACTTCCAATTATGTAAATCAATATTTCAAACCACACTAAAAAATAGAGCACTTCCCATTTTCATAGAAACTTGTGTACCAAAAAAATATTATCTCCAATTATAAGCCCTCTAGGATGTAAAATATATCTATTCTCACAGTCCCCATAGTGTGTGAGACAAATATATGCATTTCGATTAGGGTCATATTCTATGATAACAATTCTACCATATATGTCTCTTTCATTTTATCGAAATCAATTTTACGGGATGCTAATGACCACCCCTCTATGTCTGCGGTAATGATTCCTCTAGCATTATGACCTTTACCACAACAATTTTGTCCATAGATTAAATTATTAGGGTATAACACATTTCTCAATGTATCATGCAACAGGTTGTTATGCCTTTATTAATGACAAGAGAAAATATAAAAAAGCCCAGCATTGTCCATACCAAAAAAAGTAAAGCATATTTCAAATTACATAGAAACACATTTTCTCTCCTCGAGCTAAAATTATCCTACCCAGATTTGCCAATGATAAGAGGTGCAAAGTCTCATCAAGAAACGATACCTTAAAATGGTAGGGAGGTGAGAGATCACTTCTCTATAGATGCTCAGGTTACTGATGCAAGGCTCTACAAAAAGAAGGTTTATCAACTCTTTTTTGAGGGTCAGGACTAAAGCCTTATTGATTAGATTGAAGCAAAACAGCTTGAGAGATCTTTTGGGAAAGAAAGATTAGAGCATTTTGTGACCTCAGGAATGATAAAGCATTAGGCCAGAGTGTTTCCAGTCGCTTTTTTTCGTCATGTAGGAAGATATTGAAGGGCAACTGGTTACCTTTCATAATTTTTCCTTTGATGAATAAATAGGCACCAGCATGGATTCCACTTTTATTAAGGACAAGGATACTTTTGATTACTGTCCTCTTCCCTTAGTCATACACCCCTCTCATTCCAACATATGAATCTACTAATAAGCGGGCTCTTTCCAGTAGATGTAAAATAAGTCCATTACATGATCTTGAAGTCGATGACATTTAACTCCTAACATTCTACTAAATTTCTTAAGTTTTCTCAAAATCCAATCTGAAACCAATTACTTATCCATGTTTGGCGATACCTTATTAGTAGGTAATGCAGCACCATATGGAACATTGGCATCATTTGAGAGTTGGATGTCCGAAGCTAAGGTCTTTCACCACCCTAAGACTCTCCTGTTTCCTCCTAGGATGTACTTGGAATTTGGCACCAAACAAGAATTAGGGAGGGATTTCCTCTCAAATGCCCCTGGTTCTAAGAAAACAATATAACCGTTTGAAGAACTAGCAACGGATTTGCCCCTGCTAATCTAAACCCATCCAAAACATCTCCAAACATAAATGACAAACCCTCTGAAGAAGACAAATTATTGTGAGCTTTTCCTCTTTTAACAAATTCTCTTCTGTTTATAGATGGTGGCATAAACAACCATTTTTGTTCTCCTTAGACATAAATTTGGGCTTATGAGGATTAAAAAGTGGAACTAAGCCCTCTAGGCCTTAGAGGTCAGGTGGGGCATTAACTTGCCTATCCTCATTCTTCCCCTTCTCTTACTCTACACAATTTGAAATTTACATCTCCCTTTTGTTTCAAGCGCTGATATGTGGGGTGAATGGAGCCTTCGGTTAAGATCCATAAAACCTACTTCTTCTGAGAGTGCTACCAACTTATCCACTACTGTATTGAAGTCAATTGTTATTCCACTTACTGGACAAGCTGCAGA